CTATTCATCTGAAGATCACGAACCGGAAGTTGTCGTAATGGTTTGTCAGACATACCCACCAGGTTAATGTCTGGTGTATTTCTCATATAACACATCTTCTCTTATTCAATTAATATTAGTACTTGCATGTTCAATGAATTTTTGGCTGCAAGTTTAGGTTGAGACATTAGCCTGTATGTTTTTAGATACTCTTTGTCCCTGGAATCTTAAGATCACGAACTGGAAGTTGTCGTCTTGGATTGTCAGACATACTCACCAGCTTAATGTTGGGTGTGTTTCTCATATAACATATCTTTTCTTATTCAATTCATATAAATACTTGGCATTTCTAACATCTTGATGAAACTGTGTTTACGACTCGTAACTAAAAAATAATGTTTTCGGCGTTTCTTCAGGTTTTTAAAGGTGTAGGGCAGATCGAAATGATTTACAATCATATTAAAAAATGTCCTTTTGATCTTTGTATATCACTTTAAAATTTTGTATTTTCAAAGGCAATGTTACTGACTTCATTGGTATTGTATTCTTGGGATTACTTGTTTATTATACTTTTTTGAAATATCCCAGCAAATAATGCAATTCGATTGGTTATTTTGACAGGGAATGTGAAGCCATATACCCTGCCAAAAAAAGGAGATAATATTTTTAATAAATATTAAAGTCAGTATACTCCATTATAATTTAAGTGTTATTAGTGATTTTCATAGGGAATATAAGCTTATATTTCCGTCAGTATTTTATTCCCCGGACTTACTTCTACCTCTGGTATCATGGCTCAATTTTATAAGCTCATATTAATGCTAGATATGGGACATACCGGGTAACCCCTCTTCCCGATGCTGCCGGGCTTGTACGTGTCTAGGGTGTCTGTGGTATGGTGCATGCATAAGTCCATGCCTTTCTCTTCCTATGATACCACGGCACACTTAAGAAGCCCTTTATTAGACCAGTCGACATTACATTATTAGGGCTATAGGACATACCGGGTAAATCATATTTTGATTCAGAAACTTTAGATGGAAGAAGAGAAATCAGAACAATTCGAGTGTTTTATGATATTAAACAAAATAATGTACCAGAATATTTGAGTAATCTAATTCCATCAACAAACCAAAGTATATGTATAATAGTATATCAGCAACTCAATGGTAACGATATAATATTTTCATTCTGTAGACTCGCATTGACTAATGAATCATTAATATCATAACTATATGTCTACGGAATAACCTTGGTGATTCAACCCGTGATGCTGATACAAATGGAAAAGTGAAAACAAAACTTAAAGTATTAAAAAAATATATGCTTAAGAAATATCAATTTGGAAGTCATAAACTAAATATCATTTTTACCCAAATTCGATGTTATAATCAAATTATGATCTTTATCAAGTTGATATTAATTCTTACCTATCTTGCTGCTGTGGTGTGTATCGTGACAGTTCGAATCATTTCTTTATAAAGGTATATTATATTCAGACAAACGAAGTAAACTTTAAGAAAATCCTAAATGGCCCCATAATACATCCTTTAAATGTAGAAGTATTAACCTGGGGTTGTGAAGCAATATGAAAATATCTTTAAAGACGTTTTTTGAGTTTATTAAAGGGTCGGACAGATTCCATATTGATTAAAAAAGGGAAACTACGACCGCACACACATTTCACATCGTGATCTAAGTCAACCATTTTTTGTTGTTCTTTTCTTTTTCTTTTTCGCCTTTTTAATTTTCTGTCCAATTCATACAAACGATGAAATAACATTTAATGTAAGCATGGTCTGATTTAATCTATTGTTTAATATGTTAAACAGAGAAGACTTCATCAGTTTGCTTGACTTATTTCTTATCCAATTTGTATTCATTCAAATGTTATATGTTTGAACTGAACCCCCTTTTCCTATGCTTCCAAAATCGTACGACATTAGAAATTGTGAAACGGTGCATACAAAAAGTCACGCCTACCTTCACTTCTGATGTCATGGCCCATTTGTAGAGGCCCATTGTAAGGTCAACCGCCTATCCTTTTTAAGGGTTGCCCGTTTTTTCCTACGCTACCGAAATCGTACATCTTTAGAGAATTGTGGAACAGAGCACCCAAAGGCCATATTTTCCTCTTTCTCTAGTACCATGACCCGGCCATGATTTTCTTTATCTCTGGTACCATGGTCCATTTTATGAAGCCCTTATTATGGTAATTTGACAATCTTGTATTGTTTGTTACTGCATTACAACGTTCAGATAATGTCTGCAGAGCCGAATGAATGACCGAAAACGCTAGCATCATCATTATTGAAACGATTGTTCTGAATCTTTATTTTAAGAATATTCTTAAAATATCTGATCAGAATTGTTCGCTTAGAAAATACCTTAGCCAGGTGTTGTCTCACAATATAAATGACTAAACGGCTACAGATAATACTAATTACATAATTTAAAAAGCAAAACAATAATTAACAGGCACAGTTGTAATGTCTAACGGTTTTTGTAATATGTTTTCGTGTGTGAAAAGTAATTACCTATAGAATCAGCTGATGAGTTCGAATTCATATAATAATCTAACGGTGTTTACTGTTGGAAATTCCTTTTCATACAGACGAAGCACACATTATCCATACTTGTAAAAAATAGGTCACTTACATCCAAGGTTAATAATGTGTATCACGATAAACAAATGCACTATACTAAAAGCTATTGCATGTAGGCACGTATTCCTCAGTCCGTTATGATACCAATTAAGCAACATAAAGCAGGTAAATAGCAGTTACTACTGAAATGTAAGATTAACAACAAGTGTAAAACAAAAGATGTCATTCGAATGCCACATGTTGGCGGAATTTTCTAAATCGGCCCATGTCATATTTGCAGGGAACAATATTTTCGATCCAGCAAAGCTATCAAAGCATAATTCAGCGTCCAATACTTTCTTTTAGCCTATTAAAGCCTATTATCTACTACAGTTGTAAGAGAAAATAGACTGATTTGGCAATGAAGGATTTAATGTTTTTCTATAGAGAAAATGATAAATTAAAAAATCGTTTGAATTCATCTGAATTGTATCAATTGAATTCACTGCAAGCAAACTGTCTGAACAGTACTGAAGTAATCACAGTCAATAAATATGAAAATTTACTTCGACTGAAATGATTTAATGATTTAATGATTTATTGCTAAGTCCTTTCAGATAATTTTAAAATCAAAATGACCGTTTCAGACTAAAATTGTTTTTAGCAAACTCTATACCGTATAGTAAGCTATAAGCTATAGGCCTCGAAATGAAAAAATGTAAAACAGTTTAAACGAAAAACAAATCCGCCTAATTTATTTAGAAACAATTAATAAAAACATATATGATAGACAACGAGCAAAGACAACCACTGAATTACAGGCTCCTGACTTTGGAAAGCACATACAAAAAGCACAACCCTCCCCTAACCTGAGACAGTGGTGTAAAAACACAACAAACCAGAAACTGTAGAAATCAGTTGAAAATGCATGACTTATAAGATCAACACGAAGCGTATCCAGCCAGCTGATTCAAAGCCAATTACAACTAATGAATAAATCATGTTTCCAAGGATTTAAACAATCAGATCACATACAATGGATTTATGAGAACAAACTTTTACGACAAAACAAAAAGATTTCAGCCTCCCAATTATAAACTTTCCATTTTTATGTAGCAAAATTTGAACAACGCCTGCATATGGAGTACATATCTCCTAGTTGAAACGATATTCTATGGGTTCCGTTTCCTATCATTATTTCTTTGATAGAGGGTTGCTGTTCATAAGAAAGCTATTAAACCAAGAGGTCAAGGTGGTGAAGCTGAAATTATCCTCTCGAAAATTTTACGGACGCCATCACGAGTTGGTTGGCCGTTTTAGAATATCTATTTCATAGATAACGTCGGATATGTTCAGATCGTCGTAACGACAACTCCGTCCTCCTGTTCTCCAAATGTGACCGACCAACCGAATTAAACTTATCACCGGGTTTCAACTTACATGACCAACACAATTTGTGCCACATGTGGACCAATATCTGCTTACCCTTCCGGAGAACCTGAGATCACCTGCAGTTTTAGTGGTGTTCGTGTTGCTCAGTTTTTAGTTTTCTATTTTGTGTTTTGTGTACTGTTGTTTGTCTTTTGGTCGTTTTATTTATGTTGCCATGGCGTCGTTATTTCATTTTTGACTTTGAATGTCCCTTTGGCGTCTTTCGCCTCCCTTTTGTAAAGCCGTTTTTTGTAAAAAAAAATAAAGATGAGATCTAAAAACAAGTAAAGCTGACATCGACAAATAACCCTTATAGGAGTAATTGCATGAACGAAAATTTTATTCCTTTTCGCATTTTGTTTAGAAACTATAACTGATAGAGAGAAATTATTAGGAACGTAAACTTTAGGAAAATAAGATATACAAATAAGTTACCTGGACGAAATTGTCAATTGACCCCTTAAAAGAATAGTTAGCCTTGAATGATAATTTTTACGATGTCTTGAGTTTATTTTCTTCCATGAACTATATTGGATAGAGAAAAATTGTAAACAGCAAACTAACGAAGAAATAAAATATACAAATAAGTCAACTTGGCCGATGTTGTCAATTGATAGCTATTGTAGTAGTTGTTAACTTTGAAATATTTTTTCAAAATTTTTGTTTGCGTTGGTTTCCAACAACAACAGTTGATTTTCGTGTGTGCTCATATCTCTTGAATAACCTTCAATAGATATTGAGAAAATCTAGTCGACTTTGGTAGGTATGCAAGTTATAACTTCTACGTCTACAAACACGATGATGAATTAATGAACCGTTAAAGAAAATAACATGATATATACTTGCTAAAAGGTATATTAAGTAATCAACTGAGACTTATACTTTTTCGTGTTTCATCAAAATGTACAAGGTTAAATAAGCTTCTTTAGTATCCCGAAGGCTTAACTTCCTCATCACAGCATATATAAACATCGGGAACGCATATTTCCTACGAAAGAACAACCGGCGACAATCCAGGTAAATACATAGAGAATAATACATGGCAAAATCCATATCATATGCCGTATCATCCCGAAGGCCTTAAAGCCCGAGGGATGATATTGGTCGAGAGTGATACGGCATGTGATACGGATTTTGCCATGTTTTCAACGCTTCATCATATATTTAAACAGGAGAGTATATATGAACTACTTTCTGATCCCTAGCACCTGGGTTACCTTCAGATTTACTTTTGCCTTGTTCTAAAAGCTTTAAAAGAACTGCCTAAATATTCATCCGAAGCACCTGGGTTACCTTACAATTTGTGTCCTGTTGTTGATAGAAATATTTTCTTTATTGTATTTTTTTGTGTTTTGTATGGTATTTTATTGAGTTCTTTTTTATAGTTGCATTTCGTGTGCCAGAAAGCTGGACGTCTGTGACGTCACACGCCAAACAATGACGTCACGCCCTAATGACCGTTTCATTTAGGACCCATTGAGGAAAAATATTTCTTGAGAATTAAGCTTGCATAAATTAAAACATGGACTACATGTAAATTCAGTCGGAATCACTACTTTCATAAATGAGAAATTTGAGTAGGGGTGTGATAAAGGGGTGTGATAAAGGGTGTGCATCAAAGTTGAGCGATACGGATTAAACAGCATGCTATTTATCAAATATTCAAAACTACTGTATTTACTACTAAATACATGTATATGATAAAATGTAATTCAGCACTAAATAATTTCTAATTTGGCCGTAGAACATACAATCAGAGCTAAAAACAGAGTTCGATCAGATTACAATAATAAGTTAGTGCATAAATTATTAAATACTGAAACAAATATAATAATTAAATAACATTCTTTTAATTCATATCCAAACTATCTTTATAGTTGTGATTGTATTGTGAAATGAGTTTTAAGAAGAAATGAGTTATTACTTATTTCCGATTCTTATATTCTTAAAGAATAGCTCGTCATATAATAAGAGTTTTAAAAAGGATATCAATGAGTGACCAACAAAACATTGAGTAAAAAATCGCCTAGAGCGTAACTGAGCTATCAGTCTTGTTCGGTCATGAGTTGAATATTTTTCGATATTAGAATTTTTGGATAATTTATACTTCTTTGTTACTTTTGATATATTTAAAGTAGAAAATGCAAGGAACTAAATTGTTTTCTTCGAGTTCGCACTTTGTTTAGATGCAACATACCTAATGTTAAACATTGATAAGTAGTAGGAGGAAACTTGCTAAAATCATTAAGTTATTGAACAAATTGGAATAACAAGCTCCTGTAGAAGAGCGAATTGGTCCATTATGTGTTTAGAAAGTAGACGAGGATTTTTTTTTACATAATTAGAGAATTATTATTTTCTGAATTAAGTGAAGTAGGTTCCTCTTTCATGAAATTGAATTTGTATAAACTTGTGGATTAGAATAACTATTTTTTTTAATTTTTGGTGGACCTTCCAGATGGCTGGCTGTTTCACTTTTCAATCTTGACCATTTTGTGTTTTTAATAACTAAACATGCTTAATCTATGCGTAGCCCAATTTAAATTGAAGTTCGCTTGAATTCAGATTCAAATGAGTTGAATTATTGACCTGCAAGCAATAATACATCATCGATGCATTTGCGCTCATTCTGAAAAAATTCATCAAAACGGACTGCTCATAGCGAAATAATTTATCACAATTCAGCATTTATAATCTAGAAAAGCGCGTCGGACTCACGAAATTTATAATGCGTTGTTTTCCTTTCTTTTATTAATGTGTAAAACAAAACAAAACATTTCATTTTTAAGTTTTTCGTCAACTTCATAGCTAATGCCCCTTTCGAGTTTTGATAACAGCTATAAAAACATTTATAGACTGTAAGGAGACGACCATTTGATATTGTGGAAGGGGAATGTTTTTCCAAACAAAATGCAGGAGTACAAAAGTATAAATAAATTATCGAGCGCACAAAAAAAACCAAATAAGCGAGATTTGCAGTAGGTAAATTTGATATATTGGTTTAAAAAAAAGTTATCCTACCCGCCCCTTCTTATAAAATAACAAATATTTGGCCACTAAGCATCAATTCTGAATTTGCATTCCCCCCAATAATTTAGGTTTATATATATCAATAAACCCATCATAGATATCAGGATTTATATTTTGTACGCAAGAGTCGCATTTCATCTAAACAAATACTCATCAGAATATCGACGAAATAAAAAAGGGCCAAATAAAGTACGAAGTTGAAGAGCCTAGACGACCCATAATTCCGAAAGGGTTTTCCAAATAAAGCTACGGTAATAAATTCTTGGGATAGAAAATCTTTAAGTATTATCAATAACCGAAAGCAATTGTTCTGGTGTATAACATCCATCTATGATGGGATTGAGAATTAAGTGTGATATATCATAAGCATCTACTAGTATGTTGTTTATGAAAATTATTCATAAATTGAATCGTGCATGTTTATCTTCTTGTTGTTTTCTCCCTATTTAATATAATAGATATAAGTTTTTAATTTAGATACTTGTAAGTTTGTCATTTCTTCATTCTATCAAATGGCACACACCTTTGTTGACAAAAATGTAACGTTTGTCTTTTTTGGTGGTTTAAACGTGTCAAGTGAACAAATTTGCTATACATAATGTTTGTATTTTCAGTGAAGCAATCATTTATATATTTTGAATGTGCTTATCTTCCATTTAAATGTAATGATGCCTATGTAAATCAGTTTTTGTTGTTAACAGATGGCGTATTTTAAACTGACCATCCTTGTCATAACAGTTTTTATTGGCTTAACGCATGGTCCTGTTCATGTTAGCTGTCAACTAGGATTTCCACCGGGGATAGGACTACCCTTTGGCGGATTACCTCCACCTGTGCCGGATCTTGATACAGCTGAAACAGAGTTTTTTCTTATCCAAGAAGATGGACTAACAGACGGTGTTGGTGCATCTAGTGGTGGATTTAGCAGTGGCTTTGGTGGTGGATTGGGATCGTTATTGTCTCTGTTATTAGTACCCTTCTTATGTTAGTACTACAATAGCAAATAATTGCTACTTACTTTTTACGTTCGTTAATGTCTTTTTAATAAATTATGTTATATTCAAACCCAAATTGCAACCCACCCCCAACCCCTTCCCCAATGAAAATTTGACCACGATGGTATGTTCTTCTTAGGACCTGGTAGATTTTATGCTCACAAACGTTTATACGTATTGACTTTCTAACTTTTTAGTTTGAAAAGTACAAGATGAAGGTCACCAAACTCTTCTCTATATTCGGCCATGGTTGTACAGACACGATTTTATTAATTATCTTTCTAAATTTTTGGTTTCGACAGCACCTGATGATGATTATGACGCTGTCCACTGCCATGGTTTGTACAGTCACAATATTAAATATTTATGTTCCAAACTGTTCATGGATAGTATAACCATATATAAAATATGTAATTATTCTGGTGAATGGAAATCAATCTATAATATGACTGACCATTAAGGTTTTTTTTTTATTATAAACGTCAACTAGTATGTTGTTTATAATAAACATTCATTAATTTGATCGCATATTTTTATTTTATCAATACTAAATCTAAAATTTGTAACTGTTCTAGCAAATGGAAACCTGAAAGTGATTGCATTATCTACCATTATTTCTAGTTCTAAAATTACTATGAATATGAAAATAGGGAGGCATGATATGATTGCTAACGAGACAACTAACACCAAAGATCAAAGGAAAGGAGACATATCTGCCCCTAACTACTATGGCTACAACGAACACTAATTTTCTTTACTTTCTTGCGTTTAATGCCGTTTCTATTTTTAATAGAACAATATACATATAAAGAAGATAGCCGCATAATAAATTAGACCTAAAATGTATATCAAAATGTCAATATCACAACCATGTTTTCGGCATTCTATATGTGTCCATGCCCCATATTTATCAAACGGAAACATTTTCAAATCGTCAATGTCCAATAGTGTTCAAATGTGTGTTAAATCTCATTCTAAATACGATTCGCTATATTATCTGCCCTATCATTAAAAACGAAATTAACCACGCTTATCTTAGGTTATTTTCACTATTATATTTACCTCCCTTTTGGTCATATAGCTCTCCAAGTATTCAAGTATTTATACAACCTTGTCCTGCGTTTTTTATTTTTTTAGTGTTCCTGGTGAAATAAAAAACAAGAAAGAAAAGCCCTCCGGACGCCCTAAAATTTTAAATTGCTATTTCTATTTACTACGAATTAGATAGATTAGATAATAATAATAATAATAATAATAATAATAATAATAATAATAATAATAATTGTAATAATCATTATCATAAAATAAAGAAAATAAATTGGTAAAAAAAGAGTAGTTTACATAAAGTACAATTACAAGGTTTTAATTAATCACAAGAACTTGATTATTTGAGACTATTAACTAGCTATTTGAACAAGATCTATATTATTGAAAGAAACATTAGTACAGTTGGTAGTCACTCAATAAATTGAAACGCCTTCCTTTTTTGTTAATGTTAATGCCTCTAATTATCAAAACATATATCTTCCGAAACAATATAAATATTCTAAAAGTTAGATGTCATTTGTATACTAATAAACACCACATTTTAATCGCTATATCATCGACGGTAATTAGCGAATATTGGCACAGGGCTTCATCCAAAAACGGGGTTGTTGACAATACTCTGTTAATTAAGAAATTCAACCAAATTAATTTTCTATATACATGTTTGCCTTTTTGCAAATTAAGACAATTGAATTTTTCTTCTTTTATAATTAAAGAATACTTTTTTCTGAAGTAACAGGTAAAGAAAGAAAAGTCCAGAAATCGGCTTTGTTCAGATTTAGAATTTTTCTCAATCAGATTACTAAATAAAAATGTTTACATCTGTTGCAAATCGTAGTATAACTAAATATTATTATATCATATCTTACGTTGAAATTTTTTTAATTTCCCCAAAAATAATGAATTTTGACCCTTTCTATGAATAAGGTTGGTAGTTTAAGGTTAAGAATATTGGAGACACTAAACGCATATATAGATAAAACTCATGATTAAAGAATATATCATTAAATGGAGGCACCCACTCATTAACAATTATTTACAGTTATCATTGAATGAAAATATCACCTTTTTTTAAAGCAATTAACGGATCATCGTCGGAGAGTTTTCAACTCTCTCTCATTAAACACCCTGATCTATTGGGAGGTTTAGCTAGCTATAAGACCAGGTTTAACCCACCGGTTTCTTCGGAAAATGTCCATACCAAGACAGGAATATGGCAGTTGTTTTTCACTTGATCCGTTAGTTGACAGCGTTTTATTTTGTCAGAATTTTTGGACTTCCCCTTTTTTAATTTGCCATGGAGTTTAGTATTTTTGTTATCCTTTTTTAAGAATCAATCACACAATGACTAGAAAAGATCTAAAATCAACTACAAATGTTTTAAATGTGTTGTACACAAAATATAACTTAAAGTTCCCTAATTTGGACACTCACATGGAAACCCTTTGATAATTCATTTCAATATGATATTGATCTAAAATTTAATATTTTCTACATTTATTAGTATACCATATCAAAATTTTCACAAAAACAAGTTATGGTAATCATTTAAGATTTCTGCAGTATAAATATTGATGTACCGGTTTGATAAATAAACTCATCCATATTTTTTTTAAGTATAGAAACGACAAATCTTCAGTTATGTTCCGTCGCTATACTGATTGCAATTAAAACATTTTGAATATGTATAATTGATTTTTATTGTAGTGACGGCACTCATCCCTCGAGCAGCTCCAGCTGCTGCAGCAGCACCAGCAGCTCCAATTGTCCAGCTAATCCAGCCACTCCAAATAGGTTTGTATTAAACTTACCTGACCCACTTGTCTTAGGCTAGCTTATATGATCACGTTGTCCTACTCAGTAAAGGAGTAGTGCTAATATCCCTCGTATTTGTTTTACTTGCAGGGTCTAACTCATAAAGTTGTCAAATTTTACAGGAAATTGACTATAAGAATGTTTATATTTTATACTAAAAATGTAGGGTCACAAATTTTACATATTTCCGTTTCACCAAAATATTGTTCATTGCTACGTTTTGCTGTTGAAGGCACTTATACTTAAATTCCAAATTTTACATATTTTTGTCAAATGCTGCTCGTCGTTATCTAATGAATTTGAGTGTATCCGAAAAACATTAAATAGTTTTACTTCCTACATAACTTTGTTAAAGCTAAAAATGTTCTTCTTGTACATTTTCTGGAAAATACAAAAAAATTGCGGTTTTGGGCGTTTCTTCAAGCGTTTATTATTTGATAAGAAATAAGCAAAGATATTGTTATAGCCTTAAAGTACATATATCTTTCTTTAAAACTATGAATTTGAGTAAGTGTTTGAAAAAAGCCCTTGTGTATTTAGATATTACAACATTTTCAAAACATGAATATTCCTAGTAAATACAGGACATAAACATTTAAAGTCCGAAAATAAATCTGTGGACTTTTATAACTGACACCGGATTGAAAATACCAGTAAATTATCCGACTAAAGGCTACTAATTCTAGAAATTTGCGTAATTTAGAGCTTACAAAAGTATAATAGAAAACATTAAACAATAATGTCGTAATCTTTTCGTTTCCCTGTATAATGGATTCCAACGAATGAAGCTATGAGGTTGTGAAAATTTGGATAGTTATCTTATTGACGTCAATATTTAGGAAATGATGAATTTGATGAACAACGGTGTTTATCACGGTTAAGTGACTTTCATTTCAATTTGCAGGGGGAAAGGGAGGGCAAAGAGTGGAAAGATTTTTTCGTTGACGGAATTTTGTATTTCACCTGTTGCTAGTCAGGCATGATTATTTCACGGAAATTTTTTTTTTTAAACATGAATATATCCTGTTTTTGTGGGAAAAATATGTATTTTCATACTCTCTTGAATTATTCAGTTAGAGTTATAACCGGGTCAACACATTCATTTCCAAAGTATTTTTCTCGTCTAGAAAATTGAATAGTCACCCCCTAATTTTTTAAAACACTAAAATGTATAAAGAATCCGCTACATCTGTGTCATACACTATCTAATTTTATGATTGTATTGATGAAAAATAGAAATTTTTTTTTTCCAATTTCAGTTACTGCTGCACCAACAATTTCTTCCACTACTGCTCCAACAACTACCTAATAGGCGAGATAATTACCAATGTTACACTAAAGACAACCTGAGAAGATATATTGTGTGTACCTAACGTGTGTTTGTTATGCTTATATAAATAAGTATGATAATCTTTCCTTGTTTATATCAACGAAACATGTATGTGAAGTTAGCGGCCGGTATTCAAATTCCTTAATAATTGAAAACAATAAAAAATTCAATATTCGCTAAAATTAAAAGTATGATAGTCATAGTTAAAAGGAGTAAAATGATATGTAGGAAATCGTTTTATAACCCCTTTAAGCTGTCATAAATTCTCGTTGTTCTCAAATATAAACCCTTATGTAAATCGCACATTTGTCTTTGATAAGATATAGATTTTTATCAATAAAATGTAACCAAAGATGTACTTTGATAAATGATATTTCTAGAAACGAAAACAAACGATCACTCTAGTAACGTTTAAAAATATGAATAGAAATTATTATGGAAAACCAAAAAAAAATTAAATAAGATATTGTCACGTTTCAGCTAAATATCGTCAAAAATTCAGGTAAAAGGGCACAAGGCGATGGCTAGACCTTTTTGATCTCTCAATCTTCATAATATTCTGCAGATAGTTAGTTAGCATAAAGATACAAATGACATCAAAAGGATTTTTGGTGTCATTTGTATCTAGACCGCCCTGATCATACAATCTTCATAATATTGTGCCGATAGTTAGTCAACATCAAGATACAAATGCAAAAAAAAGGAATTTGGGTAAACTTCTAAACTTCTTGTTTTCTATGTTTACGGAGGGCTCAAAGTACCAGTTTGATATTCAAAATATATTGTAATGACCTACAAGAGACAGCTCAAATGACGGTATGAACCCCCCTCCCCCATGGTCTTTCAAAATGAAAATGTTGGTGTCATTTGTATCTAGACCTCCCTGATCTCTCAATCTTCATAAAAATACGCAGATAGCTAGTCAGCATAAAGATACAAATGCCCAAAAAAGGAATTAGGGTTAACTTCTTGTCTTCTATGTTTACAGAGGGCTCAAAGTGCCAGTTTGATATTCAAAATATGTAGTGAAAACCAAGCGGAGACCGCTTAAATGACGTTGAGACCACCTGGTCTTTCAATGTCCATAAAATTGAATGATCTTTAAGACTATATATAAACATATATCGTATCAAAAGGATTTCCCAGAATAATGACATCTGCGATATGTACGGAGGGCTTAAGTTGTCACTTTTCAGCTAAAAATCGTGGAAAATTCAGGTAAAAGGGCACAGGACGATGGCTAGATCTCCCTGATCTCTCAATCTTCATAATATTATGCAGATAGTTAGTTAGAATAGAGATATAAAAGACACCAAAAGGAATTTTGGTGCCATTTATATCTAGACCTACCTGATCTCTCAATCTTTATAATATTATGCAGAGAGTTAATTAGCATAAAGATACAAAATGACACCAAATGGAATGTCTTCGATATGAACAGAGGGCTTAAATTGTCTATTTCAGCTAAAAATCGTCGAAAATTTAGGTAAAAAGGGCATAGGTCGGCGGATAGACCTTCCCGATCTCTCAGTCTTCATTATATTACTGGTCTATTAATGACGGTGAGACCCACTGGTCTATTAATGTCCATACAATTGAATGATCTTTAAGACTATGCATATACACATATCGCATGAAAAGGATTATGCAGAATATTGTCATCTTCGATAAGTACGGAAGGCTCAAAGTGCCAGTTTGATAGTTTAAATATATAATGAAAACCTGCCGGAGACCGCTTAAATGACAGTGAGACCCCCCCTGGTCTTTCAATGTCCAAAAAGTTGAATGATCTTTCAGACTATGTATATACAAAGATCGTATGGAAAACTTTTTGCAGAATAATGTCATCTTTCATATGCACGGAGGGCTTAAGTTGTCAGTTTTCTGCAAAACATTTTCAAAAATTAAGGTAAAACGGCACATGTCGATGGCTAGACCTCCCATATCTTTCAAAATTCATAATAATATGCAGATAGTTAGTAAGCATAAAGATACAAATGACATCAAAAGGAATTTGGGTAAACTTCTTGTCTTCTACATTTACAGAGGGATCAGAGTTCTAGTTTGATATTCAAAGTATAAAGTGAAAACCTACCGGAGACCGTTTAAATGACTGTGAGACCCCCTCCTCAATGTCAATGTCTATAAATGGAATGATCTTTTAGACTATGTATATACACAGATCGTATCAAAAGGATTATGCAGAATATTGTCAACTTCGTTAAGTACAGAGGGCTTGAATTTCACTTTTGAGCTAAAAATCGTCGAAAATTCAGGTAAAAAGGGCATAGGGCGACGGATAGACCTCCCTGATATCTCAGTCTTCATAATATTATGCAGATAGTTAATTAGCATAGAGATACAAATAACACGTAAAGGAATTTGAGTAAACTTCTTGTCTTCTATGATTACGGAGGGATCATAGTGCCAGTTTGATATTCAAAATATATAGTGAAAACCTAGCTGAGACCGCTTAAATGACGGTGAGACCCACTGGTCTTTTAATGTCCATACAATTAAATGATCTTTTAGACTATGTATATACACAGACCGTATCAAAAGGATTATGCAGAATATTGTCATTTTCGATAAGTACGGAGGGCCTAAATTGTCACTTTTCATCTAAAAATCGTCTAAAATTCAGGTAAAACGACACAGGACGATGGCAAGACCTCCCTGATCTCCAAAAATTCATAATATTATGCAGATAGTTAGTTAGCATACAGATACAAATGACAGCAAAAGTAATTTGGGTAAACTTCTTGTCATCCAATTTTGCGGAGCCTCAAAGTGCCAGTTTGATATTCAAAATATATAGTGAAAACCTAGCGGAGACCGTATAAATGACGGTTAGACCCTCTATTCTTTAAATGCCAATAAAATGGAACAATCTATTAGATTATGTATATACACAGATCGTATCAAAAGGATTATGCAGAACATTGTCATCTTCGATTTGTACGGAGGGCTTTAATTGTCACTTTTCAGCTAAAAATCGTCGAAAATTCAGGTAAAAGAGCAACTGGCGATGTCTAAACCTCCCTGTCCCTGATCTATCAATCTTCATAATATAACGCAGATAATTATTTATTATTAAGATACAAATGACACTAAAAGGAATTTGGGTAAACTTCTTGTTTTCTATCTTTACGGAGGGCTGAAAGTGCCAGTTTTATATTCAAAATATATAGTGAAAACCTAGCGGAGACCGCTTAAATGACTGTGAGACCCCCTGGTCTTTCAATGTCTATAAAATTGAATGATCTTTTAGACTATGTATATACACAGATCGTATCAAAAGGATTTTGCAGAATAATGTCATCTTCGATATGTATGGAGGGTTTAAATTGTCACTTTTCAGCTAAAAATCAAAATTCAGGTAAAAGTGCATATAGCGATGGCTAGACCTCCCTGATCGCTCAATCATCATACAATTATGTAGATATTTAGATAGCATAAAGATACAAATGACAACTAAGGAATTTTGGTAAAGTTTTTGTGTTCTATGTTTACGGGGCATTCAAAGTGCCAGTTTGATATTCAAAATATATAGTGAAAAACCTACCGGAGACCGCTCAAATGACGGTGAGACCCACCTGGTATTTTTATGTCTATAAAATTGAATGATCTGTTCGACTATGTATATATACAGATCGTATCAAAAGGATTTTCCAGAATAAAGTACGGAGTGCTTTATTTGTAATGAAGTTTTTTTCTTTCTTTTTTATTCAGTCTTTCTTTCTCTGTTTGACGGTTTTTGTGTGAGAAGCACACCTTTGTTAATAAAGCCAGAAAAGTTATGACAGTGTAAACATGCACGAGCGTTACGTATTGATTTAGATATGCACAAATGCCATACAATGAAGCAAAATGTATAGTTTCTGCTGAGAACTGGAACAGCTGACAATGAGAAAGTTATAATAATTACGTTTGTCATAGAATCTAGTTTGAAGTCGTCAATCTGTGTTAATATCGAACAAAAGATCAACTATGAAGCAGATCTCTTATTTTTGGCAGTATCCTTAATTTCAAGTTCGACATATGAGATTTAATCACTCATTGAACTGTGGTATATATGATGAAAACAGATATTAACAGATACTGAAGATGTCAGGTGAAAGCGATTAGATGTCTATTACAGTTGTTGGAAAACGGTGGACACTTATTTGGAAATGAGGGATTTTAAGTTATTCTATATATAAAAAGAATACATTAAAAGTATTGTTGGACAAAAAAGACTCACCTTCAAACTATAAGTAAATGAAAAAGAAGAAAAGCAAAGTGAAAAAAGAACAAGAACATCTGAAAGACAAATAGAGGAAACAGATTTAAAGATGCAATATGACTTTCAAAAAAAGCTAGTGTATAAATATTTACCTTCTCAACGAATGCTCGAACTACGAAAAAAAAAAGACCAGATAAAAAGAAAAAAAGCATGAGCTAGCCAAAGACATATACCTGTATACCGAATGAAAAATAATGGCCTTTAAAAAATGCAAAGGTGAATTCTCTAGCTCACATCACATGCAGAATGTAAGGCAAAAATAAATCGGATGGAAAGAAAAACGATGAGAAACGTAACGAAATTGAAAAAAAAAACAAAATCTAATGAAAAGATATAATTAAGGACAAGCCACGTAAAGAAACTGCAATGAAAAATAAATCTCATGGAAAGAAAGAAAAACAAACCTAAGTAAGGACAAGCAATATTAGGATATGCATGGAAAAATAGATCTGATAAAAAGAGAAAAGATTAGGAACAAGCAACATAAAGAAATTGCTAGAAAAATAAATCTGATGAAAAGACTAAAGATGGTTTCATTAAGACTGAGTGAAGTGAGAAAACTTAAAGACTTAACATTTTTTGGAAGAGAAAAAACAAAATGAAAAAAAGACATTCAGCCCAAAATATGACCAAAAGAGTAGAATGTACATCAACATCCATGGAAGCATTTCAAGGTCTGATCAAAGTTAATCCAGAGTTAACTGTTGCTGTTTTAACGAATAATGTAAAAGGAATACATATCTATGCATCAGGAATCAAAGTATGAAAATCGAAATCTTGATATTTAAGAAACCT